GCATCAGAGTGCACCTTCCTTGGGTGAAAAGTGTATGCCTACAACATATTATTATGAAAATGGGGTTGGTGATGGTGGTGTCATCTCGATGGAATGATAGAAGGTGTTGGTTGCTTGTTAGGGGTTTAACGACGCTGTAAAGGCAAGATGCGGTACTGTAGACACTTTACTTTCGCGAGCATTTTAATTTCGCGAAAGTAAACTTAAAAGCTTACGAAAATAAAGTGTAAGCACTGTGGAAGCAGCAATGTCGACTCGTTTTCATGTTAGATAGAGCGAACGAGCTATTTCTAGGTTCTCTATTAACGTTAGAGAACGTAGACACTACCTCAAATTGGCATCCAATAAGTTTCTCAAATAGCCTTAATCGAATCATAAACATAAAGAAGAATATTATTATAGCACAAAATCTAAAATAACTTTTGTAAGATACACAAGCTTTTCAATAAAGGAAAATCACCAGCATTTCAGAGTGATAAAATTGAGGCAGACCGTTAAATTATCACCGCTTTTGTCTATGGGTCAAACAGGTCAGGTACAATCTCTTCATGTTACAAACATCATTAGGGTTTGTTACTCCCCTTCGAACAAAACCTGTCCAGCATTTTACCTGAAGAATTTGGACTCTTTTTAAACCAATATTTTCAGTCCAAAATTTTAGAAAAAGGTGTTTTGGCCAAAGTTAAAGCTCATCCTAGTAACAAAAACCTACTGGAGATTTTTCAGTCAGGAGTTTCATTATACTGAAATTACTCTTTTTAAAATACCAGATTAATTATCTTTTAACAGAAAGGGATTATGGGAAAGTATTTACCTTTGCACTTTTAGATCTCAGTACTGCATTTGATATGACTTTCCATTCGATCCTTCTGGGACGTTTTTGTAAAACTTTTGGCTTTTCTGAGACTGCTTGGGTGATCGCTCTCAGTTAGTTTATGTACAGAGACCTCCAAAATTATTTCACTATTTTGTGGAACGCCCCAAGGTCCTGTGCAGGATCCAGTATTATACATCCTGTGCACACAGTCTTAAGAACATTTTGTAAGGACCTCTAGCATAAACTATCACAATTGTGCTGAAGATACACAGCTATAACATATTATGTCCTGTTTTTGTTCAATGCTGACTGTCTTTTGCTAGTACCTTTTACATGTGAGAATAATATGTGTTGTTCTGGGAGTGTTGTGAGTAGTTGTGTGTGTGTGTGTGTTTGTGTGTGTGTGTGTGTGTG